GGATAATATTTTAGTGGCTTACATGTGCTTCCATACAATCAAGAACAAAAGAGAAAGTAAAGGGCGATTGTGTGCTATAAAACTAGATATTCACAAAGCTTATGGCCGAGTTGAGTGGCCTTTTCTGAAGGATATTATACCGAGTCTTGGTTTCCGTGAAAATTTGGTAAATTTTATATGCAACGCATCTCAACAGTTGAATGCCAAGTTTGGTTTAATGCAGAGGAAAGTGAAATTTTTATGCCTATAAGGGGGTTAAGGCAGGGTGACCCGTTGTCACCTTACCTATTCTTATTGTGCACGAAGGGGATGACTGCTTTTCTCACACTCGCGGAGGAAAATGAAAATATTTCAGGAGTGAAAGTCTGCAGAAAAGCCCCACTTATTATAATTTTTTCTCATTGCCGATGACTCACTCGTTCTTAGAAAAATTAACCTGCGCGGTGCGGAGGCTCTAAAATCAGCTCGAGAATCATATTGTGCGGCTTCGAGGCAAGTGGTTAGTGTTGATAAATCCAACATCTTTTTTAGCTCTATTACAAAGGTGGAGATTAGAGAACAAATATGTACCATGCGGAATATAATGACTGATGCCCTTAATGATAGATATTTGGTCTTGCCAGCCAATGTGGGATTAGATAAAATCATAAAACCGATTGCTTCCAATACTTAATTGAATTGAATGTATTATTATGAAAATCAATGGTTGAAAGGAAAAATTACTTTCTGCCAAAGGAATGGAGATCCTTCTCAAGTCTGTTTTTCAAGCCACCTACCTATGCAATGTAGGTCTTTAAAATTCCTAATTTTTTTGTGAAGGAACTATTTATGTAATGGCACATTTCTCGTGGGGAGATGAGAAGAACGAGAGGAGGATGCATGTGAGAAAGTGTGTACTACTTGTAATGAGCTTGTATTGATGTAAATTCTTACAACAATTTCTTAATTTTATCCGCATGTGAGAAACATACCGTCAATACTTAACGATATTTTCACTATTGTCCTATGATCAACAATTTGATCATTCTGATAACTTTACTCACAACTAACTTGGAGTACTCGACATATCTGGTTGTTTACATAACATGGAATACAAGTGTGATTGAAATCATATATTTCGCTCATAAGTATTCCAGGATACCGATTCTCGCTAAAACTCTTTCCATGTAACTTTGAAAATAAACTCTTCTTGATGTTTTTCATAATACATTGTTTTAGTATCTTGTCAATATGTATTTTGGATAAGCCCGATTAGACACTACTATCCCCATAGATCACTATGCCTGATTCCAATGCTCTATTGCCTAAGTACTTTATTGAAAAACTAGTTTCAATAAACTTTTAATTCAAGTCAAGAAATTTATATAATTTCCAATTAACAATTTTTCATGCACACACAATATTTAGAAATATTATCACACTCCACTTACTTTCTTGTAAATACAAGAATCTTTGCATTCCTCGACGAAATCAAATTATTCGAATACTCCATCAAAACAAAGATTCAATTCCGTTATGATTTATTCATTCCATTATAGGATCTCTTGAAGTTTGCACACTTACTAGCATCCTCTGGATCGAAAAACTACCTTGGACTGTATCACATAT